AGGTGTGTTAGATGAGGACTTACGGGTTACATCGGGTTTCTGGTAGCTTATGTAAAAAATAAATATCTCACTGATTCTTCACCAGAAGTCTGCTTTATATGTACTGTCCAAACGTTTCTCGATACTTCTGTCAAAAATACTTCCATTCTGAACATAAAATAAAATGTCATTAATTTTTCAATTCTTTAATCTATTCATCATTTCTATTCCTTTAAGGGTAAGCGTTTGGGTAATGGCACTTTTACGTGCCTCATACACCAGTTGTGTATTAATAAAATTCAATGAAAATCATTTTTGAAGCTTTAATAATAACTTTGTTGCCTATTATTAATCACGTAATGACGTCACCACGTAGATTGACCTCATGACCTTTCTCCGAGCTTGATGCCAGACTTAGACCTACTTTTATCAGAAGTACAAATATATCAGCCAGCACACAATGACATTCAAACTATGCATTCAAAGAAAATAGAGACGAACGAAACAGATTTGTCAGATAAATCATCAGGTTTTGGTGAAGCTGAATCATCAGTTCACTTTTCTAAATGATTTTCAAAATGATTTCTCAACAGACCTAACTATGCGTTCTTCGATCCCGCTCATCTTGCTAAGCCATACGGTCTCAACTCGGAACTCTATAAACCCAATAATCACTGGTTCGTCAATGTGACTATTACTTAGGCTGAGTTGCACCACCTAACTTTAACAGTAACTATAACCGGTGTGTTTTGTATGGAGTTTGAAAGATTTCTGACGTTTGTTAAAGACAAAGTAAGATGGTGTAACCCACCCTTAAAGTTTCTACAATGCAATCTTATTCTGATATTGACCGATAAAAAATTTTGAGTGAAGTCAAATTAGTTAAGACTAGTAAAATATTAAAGAACTTTAAAGACATTTTAAAAACAAGAGCCGAAGTTACGTGCTTGATTAATTTTTTGTCCAAGCTGTTATACCTGGGCTGTGCCCGGGCTAAACCGAGGGTATATTTTAATCAGATTATGAAGTCGCCTCGCTGGTCCACGTGGCTTGTTTGTCGATGTATCGATTTTGCATCAAATACCCGTGGGTAATGGCCCAAACTTCCTAGTAATAAGGAAATTCAACCTTGTTTTGTTAGGCACTTTGTTGTTTTTGGGTTTTTGATCAGAACTGATATGGATTCATTTTCAAAACAGTGTTATCGAATCTAATTCCCAAAAGCTTTGTTTGCTTTCCAACTTTATTTTATCGAAATGATTTCAGTGATATAATAAATTAGAAATGATGCCACCATAGATGTAATGTACATACATAGTAAAAAGTAAAACTTACTCTTATAACTAAGCTTTGATGTTGGATAAGATTATTACTTCTTTAACCTTTTATATAGGTACACTAAGACTGGGTTGCACTATCTTACTTTTACTTTAACAAACATTAAAAATCTGCCAAGCTCCATACAAAAATCACTGGTTATAGTTATAGTTACGGCTAAAGTTAGGTGGTGGAACTCAACCTAAATAATATTACCAAGAAAAGTAACAGATATCATATTCAGAAAAAATAAAATTATTTCCTAGCCCCTATGAGAATAATAATAGGGTAAACCGTATAGGTTACATTATAGTTAGTGTGTACAAAAAATAATGTGAACTAATAACGTTTCTACCTAAAGCAACGAAACAGGTAATTATTTTTCATTGTTTGAAAATTTCAGAATAATACCAACAACAATCCTCTACGTTCTAAGAATTATCAGAAACAAATAATTGCTTACAGAGTGATTTAATTAACGTTTGTTTTTGTTAAATATTTTGTGGAAAATAAAACAGTTATATAGAACTGTAGCTGAAATGTCTGTTAACTGGGCTGACTACAAAGTAAGTAAAAGATACAGCCATTTAAACTATTTCCTATCCTTTCAGTACTTAACCAAAAATCCCTCAGGATATTTTATCATGACAGTTCGTCCACTAAAGCGCTTTAATGTTACCCTACATTTATATTAAAATGTATTCAGTATCCTTTATAATATCGCCGAGGACTTCTCTAACACAGAATGGCTTTCTTCTGTCCATTACCTAGTCCCATACTTCGAAACATTCCGATATAATAGAGCTGTCAGTTTTATAATTTTTCGATAAAATTGTATCGAGTTTATCGAGTACCTTTGATTTGAAGTTAATTACCTATTTTTTGTTCATAATAATTATGTACTAGCTTTTGCCCGCAGCTTCACCCGCGTGAAATTTAGTGTCACATATCGGTATAAATTATAGCCTATATGTTAATCTGGGTTACAAACAATAATACTGTAAAGTTTCAACAATATCCGTTTAGTAGTTTTTGCGTGAAAGAGTAACAAACATCCAGACATCCAAACTTTCGTATTTATAATATTAGTGGGATTTAGATAAGTACCTACTCAACATGCCAAAGACGACCCACCGAAGCTCGTCGGTTTCTAAGTGAAATAAAAGTCTGTCAACACCTTCAATCTGGAGAGCGCCCTAGAATACTACGTGCCGCCTTCAGCTCAATATTAACGACAGCACATCAAGTTAAATTATAGGACGTCTTGTGTTTGTGAAAAGTGTGCTATTTAGTTACAAAACAAAAGTTGATAGTAATCACTTTTTTTGCTAGGCTTATTTATATGCAAGACAATTAGATGTTATGCTATTTGACGAATACGACACGACTCTATTGAGTTATTGAATTTCAATTATGTTCTTTGTTTGTTAAATCTATCGACATAGGCCTCGGTGCATCCCTATAATATGTTATGTTTAAAAGACGAATCTCCCAAGTTTAATGTATAAATTGTGTTTACACTTTCCCCTAAAATAGAAGTTGAAGTATTTAACTTTTCCGCTTTTTTCTCAAAGGGATGGAAGTAACTTTTTTATACTAAAACTTAGTCACTAATTAATAACTCGTAACAAAAGTTTTTCTATAGCAGAAGACGCTTTATGATTATGATTTTATTCTTTTATTTGAACACAATTTATGTACCTATATATATGTACCCTTTTCAGCATTGTGTAGAATATGATTTTATACGGCCTATCTTAAAACTAAAGAACAACAAAGTACCTTACCATTAATTTTGAAGCGTCAGCCAACTTCATAACAGTGTAAATTACAAACAATAATTAAGTACCGAGAAAGCGGAAGATATTGATAAAAATAAAATCTTTAACAGGAAAACCATTCCTTCCGTTCCATTAGAAAAACATAATTTCAAAGCACAATTGAAATCAGTCACATAGGTAGAAAGGTCGGAAGGTCGTTAGAAAATGGAGTTGATCTCAAATCTCTAAATAGCCTTCGTTTTGTATGTCTAAAGACCTTTTCCAGGCTATTCATGTCATCCACGCCTATCCATCATCCAGTTTCGACATAATACCAGCCAAGGTTAATTCTCATACATGTCGGCCTTATAAATCTTCGCCTAGCGGAATAAACCATCAATCAAACGTAGCAAGCCTTATTTATTATATAAATTGGATGCAATACGATACGGAACAGTCGTTTATCATGAGTGAATAGCTATTATGTTCACCACTATTTTAAAGGAAACTTTTATAGGGGAAACTGTATTGTTTGTTCAAACTGTTATATTTTTTGAAAGGCGGAATATGTTGCAGTTTGTAAGGAATGGGATGATTTAATGCTTTTGTGTAGAACGACCGCATTTCTAGGTACATATGTTGATCAGTGTGTACAATATTTATGATCGTATTTTATCTAGGGAGCATCTAACCCTGTATGAAGTTTATGCTGTTCTTCGTTTTGTTCTGGATCGACGATCTGGTGAGGATTGCGGGAGGTGCCTGAATGCGAGCGGCGCAGGACCGGTAATTGTGAAAATCCTTGTGACCATATTTTGTCCAGCAGTGGACGTCATTTGACTCAAACTAACGAACGATGTTGTTTTTTTAATCCACTACACCTTCACACTGTGACGTTTTGTGTGGTGGTAATAAAATGATTTTGAAATATTTTATAATCTGATTTGCTTTAGGCTCTATATGGACTGACTCATAGATTTTTTTTGGCCCTCACTGGGGAAGCTTACGTTCAACAGTGCACTACCATGATTGATACAATTATGAATGGACGCAACAAATAAATTTTGATGACAATTTAATTGGATCAAGAAAGATAAAAGTGTTTTCTTTTGTATTGAATGATAAACAATCGCCGAATCTACTCGTACTACAAACATTCATTCATTGCCGACGTAATTTCTTATTATACTTCGTATCTCTCCCGAAGATGATTATGTTTTACATGCAGCAGTACCTGGGATGATGCCGTCCTTATCACACTTTTAGATAATATTTATTTAAAAATATAAGTTTTAAATATAATAAAGTACGTGTTTTGACTCCTCAGCACCGTAGTACATTCCGCGGTCCGCCATATTTCTTGTCATTACTTGTGTTGGTGTTCGTCCGACTCACACGTACTTTTTCAATAAAAATAACTTAGCGTAAAAATGGGTAAAAGGAAACGATCAAGTANGTATAATTAGATATCAAACATCACAGGTAAGTTCGTTTGATTCTTAATTAATAATTCAGCGCACTAATGATGATCACCATAATTTTTAAAGCTTATGAAACGTTACTAGCAATTCAGAAATTAAAGATTGTTATCAGTATTTATCGTTCAATATAGTTTAAGGGACTCTAGTTAGTGACTAGTCGATGATGGGAGTTCAAACGAACATGAAGAATAAAATGTCTGGTAACATCAAAGTGATATCAAAAACTGTGCCCATCCAAGTGGTGCCTGCCAAGAATGATTTAGACCCAGTGGCAAGAGGGAGAAAGATCATACTTCAACTACGTCACATCATACATTTCGAATCAAGTATTGGAATCAACCGACTGTATTTGCTGTACCATCGTAGATTAGTGCTCTGGCTGAATCACTTATTTAGCGTTTTTTTGATGTCCATTACCGTTTATTGCGTACTCCGAAACCGCTCTGAGAGGACCGCTTCTTACATGGTCATAGTTGATACCACTTGCGTCGAATACCTCTGTCTTGTGGTCATATCTATGTTGGCTAAAAAGAGTTCTTTCAGAAACTTTTTCGAAGATTTGGCGCACTTCGACAGCTTACTGAATTTGAATGGAGACTTGAATATCACCAGTCCTTCTGGCAGAGGTTGGGCGTGGATTGTGGCCAGTGTTTTGTACAGCATATGCGAATTTTTCTCGCTGTCCACGTATATGACTCAAAAGATAGATTACTCGTTTATGCTGACGTATATCACGTTGGTGGCTCATGATTGTGAGCAGATTTTGTTTTGTTCGGTGCTCAGGATGATTTTAATCCGGGTTCGGATATTGAAGGCGCACGTTTTGAAGACATTAGTGCCTAAAAACAGCAGAGAAGCGAAGAAAAAACTACTAGAGGTCGAAGCGTTGTCGTATAGGGCACAACTCGATATAGGGACCTTGCATCGAAACTACGAGTTGCTGCACAAATGCGCCGAACAACTTAACTCGATAATGAGTTTGCCGGTAAAATTATTTCTCAATTTCAAACTTCGGAGTTGAAGAGCTAATTAAAAATAATGAGATTTGTTTTCAGATGATGCTAATGCTGTTTTGCTCGGGACTGTCGACGACGATGCTGTTGAGGCAATTATTTAAAGCGTTGCAAAGTACGTTTGAAAGTGAGGTGAGTTGTTTTGACACAAAGTAGGTACCTAGTAGTACGTAGAGTGTTTGGTGAGTCGTTTACTTATTTTTTTACTCATCACGCAGTGACATAAACTGCTTAGCTTACCAGACTTAAAAACTATTGCTTGTATGGAGACTGAGAAATTCACACTAGATACATAAAATCATGGTCCTTTAGTGGTCCTATGGACTGGGTTTAAAAATGTAGTTTACCAATACCGACCAGTATGCCTAGGATGTGCGCCGTGTTAGGCGCCATTTTCCCTATTTTTCGCGATAAGCCCATACATTTGTCTTCTAAAATCATCAATAACATTTTATTATACCTACTTTATTTTAATGAATATTGTTCAGATGGGCAGTGGCTTAATCGCATACGTGTTAAGCCGTTGCCTGCGGTACACGTTACTGGTGGTGATGCCGTGCCTCATCTCAAGCATGACCACAACCCAAGTGGCTTGTATCCGAACCACCCTACACGACGCTATGAACCAGTTTGACATTGGTACGTAAAACAATTATTCTATTATTACTATTCTATTTTCTACTACGGAATCAATTAATCAGCCTTAGACAGCAGGAAACTATTAAAGTCATTATTACTATAAACATACTCGTACTTTCTCGGCGGTCTATCAGTGAAATTACCTACAGTACGTACACCCACACCCGCCCCGAAAAGTACCCGACCTAGCTTTATGAAAAATAAGCAATTTTCAAACATTTAAAAAAAAATAGTTTAGTCTTTATTTTATAAAGCTAGATCAAGTAGGTACAGTCGCGGAATGAAAAGGTTCGTCACCTTAGTGTCGGTTTTCGCTTGCACTAGGTACTGTAAGAGTCAAACCTGCCAACATAACAGTGCAAGAAACAGTGCAGCAATTTAAATAAATATGACGTTTGCTAACGAATAAGGTTTTGCTTGTTTATTTTTCTATCCCATCAGTGCAATGCAATGATGACATTGACCAATTGACAATAGTTTTTTTATTTAATAGAAATAATAATGGCAGGTTGAACCAACAAGAAGGTTTTAGTTTATCAATCATAATAATCTTCTTGACAAGTTGAATCGTCAAACAACTTTGACATCAACATCTGAATAATTTTGAACTTTACTGACGAACAGTTAAAGATTATTTTCTCTAACTCAAGATTATTCTGTAACATAGTTTCAAAAGGTAATATGTGCTCGCGATTCGTTGAAGGAATCAATTTGAAAACTGACGAACCTTTTCATTCCGTGACTGTACTTTAGAAGAATATTGAAGATTTTCTAACCGACCCTTTTCTTTGCGGTCCAGTGTAGTTGATTATGACAAAAAGACACTCGAACGTTTTGCAAAATAGAACTCCAGTCACAGCCTCATGAGCCATAAAATATACCTCCACGTTAACCTTCACCGCCATTAAACTGGCTAATCTAAAATAAATGGTCCAAGTTCGTGCCCGAAGCACTAAAAAAATCAATAGAAAATTTCTGACCCTAAAAGGTTACATGGGTGGAAAAGATAACTTTCATTTTACGGACTTTTCATGGACTTTAGCTGTTCAATGATGCAAAAGGTATCTCTAGGTACCCCAGTAACTTTCAACTGATCTATTCGTAATTATATTCAGTTTTTAGGGTTTCGTACCTGAGAGGAAAAAACCCTTATCCTCGATCCTTGGTCAGCCTGTCCGACTGACTGACAGAAACCTTTTACAATTCTACGTAACTTCAAAGTTGTGTTGGCGCGTGTAAGAATGATGTGGTTCCTAAAACATACACATAGATACATACACTCGAAAACATATCTCTCCTTTTGGCGCAGTCGGGTAAATGACCAAAAACGACAATAGTAACTACAAATCTTTCAAGTCATTTCAAACTTACGCGTTTTTAAATCCAATAAGTTATTTTGATAGAGAAATGACAGAACAGCCACAGCGTGGGAAAAGTATGATTGTAGAAAATAAGATTCAGAACCGTGAGTAAACTCGACTCGCACTTGGCCTTTGTTGTATCAAACCTAATATTAAAATTACAAAAAGTTTTCTTATCGTGTCTCGTTCTAGAAAAATTGAATAAAAAGCCATTATCATTTCATATTTTATGACTCATACTTTTTAATCTAAAAAAATAATTTAAGTTTAAGTTTAGACGAGACGGCATCGCGGCATAACAGAGACGTCTATTATATTTTACATTTTTAATAATTATAAATAGAATCTATTTTACAACAAAAAAATAACTTACTAACATTATTTTAATTCTCTCAAAAATTGTGAATTTACCTACTTTAAGCGGCCCCGAGACGATCAATCGTGATTGTCAAAGATTCAAAGATTCAAAGATTATTTATTCACCGAGATAATGTGGTACAATAAAATATGTGGTCTTAAATTAAAAAGAGGTGCAGCTTATCTCACCAGCGTAGCTGGCATGTGAATTTGTGCATAAGAAATCATTATTATAAATTACAATTACAATTATAATTATTATATAGCTATGTCAATAATTCAATTAGTTATTCAATAATATTAATTATAATAATCTTACTTCAATAAATTAAATTAGATGTCAAATTGTTTATTGTAATTTACATGTCAAATAATCCTTAACTGAATAAAAACATTTTTCACATAACAAATTATACAGTTTCTTATTAAACAGATCAATGTCAATGTATTTACGTTCCAATTGATGGAAACGATTGTCAATGGATCAGCTAAACGATCAATAATAGCTTCAATGACACCTGTCAATTGGGTTTCAATTAAAATTATCATCAATTTGCTTCAATCACGTAAATTCAATTGATAATAATCGCATCAATGCCTTATGTAAACGATCAATGTCAATGTCAAACACGTAAAATTGACAATCGCGATTGATCGTCTCGGGGCCGCTTTACAACCTATGTTTTTATTTTGATCTTGTTAATTAGCATTCTTTTGTAAAAAATAAAGTTTAAAAAAATTGGATCTCCATTACAAACTTTTTTGTCTCTTTTTTTTTTCAGATAAGGCAGATCGCAGACGAGTGAAAGCATTTTTCCAGCTGACAAAAGAAAATGAATTTGCCTACGCCTTATGGGGACTCATAAGACTTAACATGTCGCTACCATTGAGCTATTTGAGTCTGTGTACAACGTACCTTGTTATTATTATACAGTTTTCAAAGTTTATTGATTAGTTATCTGGATATTATGTGTTCAAAATTGAGATTATAAGCAATCACGATGAAAAAAGTGTTATACCTAGTTTGTTTGAAAAAGATGTGCATAATTAATAATTATTTTTAAGCGAAGTCAGAGTTAGGTAAATACATATATGCCTATTTGGGTACTATATGCGTTAACGTACCTTTTTTTAGGTCAGAAGGCCAAAAAATACAGCTTATAGCAATCTAAACCTTATTCCAAACGTCATTAGACCTTGTTGACGGCCATGGACGACCAAATAGGTCTACAAATTGCATGAAACACGCTCTTCTTGATTAACTTTCGACCCCACTTGGGTCCTAATAAAAGGAAATGGTTTTATCAATAGAATTTCGGACGTCGTAAAAAAAGTATTTTTTATGAATTGCCCGTCATCTACTGCAGAATTCATTTCAACAAACAACCCTAGTAATTACTACTTAGATGCTATTTTCGAAAATACATACTTTGAAATAGCAACTTAAATCAGCAAAAAAAGCAACAAAATAAATCAGCACTAACATTTTTTTCTCTTTCATTAATGCAGTAAGTAGTTAATTATATTAAAGAATATTATACATATAAGTATGGGAATTTTTCTTTATACGTACCTATTAATTTGTAGGTAATAAGTACGTTTTAGACTTTATTACCAGCATACTTCGAATTTTCTGTCAACCACAGCGCATAAGCGTGGGACAAAACGTCAAGTTCATAAACAAAATGGAGTCACTTTGTGCTCAAACTGAATTAATCTCAGAGCTCTAAACAATAAAGAACATAATCGATCCAGCTCAAGATACAGTCCAACCTTTTGAAGGGAGAGAAAAATTAGTTAGATAACATTCTGTTTTATTGCCAGCCGTTCGTCGCTGGAAAAATTCTGGGTGACGTAATGGTCGGAGCAACGCTCTTTTTGTCTTGTGAGGAAAAAATTAACCGAAGGGTTTTCCGAAATAAATATCGTTTAACCTTAACTGCTAACGCCAGACCAAAAATAAACTTTGTGGGCAAAATAAACCCCGCCTGAAATAACTCCGGCTTACGGTCAGCACACAACGTTTATTTAGTTTCGTTTAGTATAATAAACGCGGGAAGATGTTTGGATTAAACTAATCGGAGATGAAAGGCGATCTTTTAAAATGTCTTTTAATACATTTTGTGTGGGATCGTTTTTATAACCCCTTACTAATAAAAAGTTACACAATTGTTGAACACTGTTTGAAAGTGATATTTCTAAACGTCACTTTAAACTAGTGTTTAACGAGCGTGTAATTTTTATTAGTAAGGGGGATACAATATTCGATTATAATGCTTTGTTCATCTTATTTGAATGCACTCATAGTTTAATTTAGCAAAGAAAATGTTCTTTATTGTGCAAAAAAGAAGTGGAACGACCATAAATTCGAGTATGGGTCATTGAATTTTATGGCCTTTTCCTCATTAAGTTCCCAACTTAGACTAAGATGTCTAACTGCGTCCTTTTTCTTAAATGTTCATTACATAAGTTACTACTGCTCATAAAAAATTGAATAAGGTCCCGTTAAACCTCAGATCATAGAAAGAGAATAGATATGAAGTCGNTTACATGTGGTAAATGACTTCATTGTTCCTGTAGTTCTTCGTTTCACTTATGTTATTGCACGTTACGACGCATTATCCAACAATATCGGAGAACATTTCCTCAGTACGACTGAATCGCGACTAACCTGGCGTCGCGGCCGATGTTCGTTTCTGGGCATATCGCGGAGACACGCGCCACGCCCCCGTTTCACATCTATTCCCTTCTATGATCTGAGCGTTAAACTATCCA